AATCACATGGCTAGTAACTTATAAAAAATTTATTTAAATTTTTATTTTTAAGCCGTGCAATATTTTTGTCCCCCCCCGGTACGTGTGGGTTCATTAATTTACAGTATATTATCTTCTATTATAGAATTCTGAGATTCTCATAATTGTGTTGGTTGCTTTCATTATCGGTAACTTGGGTTACATTGAAACTTATACAACTATGGGTCGCGATGTTGGCGAGCCTATATTGGTCAGGGTGTATGCACCTAATGGCAAAGAACAGCGCAATTATTTGTGTTCTATTTAATTTTTACGCAAAATTTTTAAATAAAAAAGTCTATAAGTTTTTATCATATATACCTGTACCTATCGTTTTTAATATAATACTAATTGAAATTTGCTACAATAGATTAGGGTTTAATTAAACACCTGTAATAAATTATATAACAAAAAATTGAAGGAATATCATGTTAGAATTTAAAAGTATTTTAACCGTTTCCCGTCATCTTTCATGATTATATATGATGACGTCAAATTTGAACAAGATAAATTTAATGAATTAAATGCGTAATTCTTTCAAACACTTCCATTTCTTTCTAGGAATTTGATCAAATGTCCTTGTTTTCTAAATACCCATCTATGGAATTAACTACCTTTTTTAAGGACATTTGTTCTAAAACATTTAAATATTTCTTGTATCATCACTATGCAAAATGCTTAAATTCACTTCCTTTGATTTTGCCTTGATTTTCAACCTCATCGAAATTCTCTTAAATAATGGAGACTTTGAAATGTTGATTCCATTCTCATGCAAACGTTTTTGGATACATTAGGAAAACAAGCAATAAATTATCATGATTTTGGATGGTACTCCGTAAAATTTGAACAGACACTTTACATTAAAGGTGATTAATTAATAAACATGAATAAAATTTCCATCTTTCAAATGTCCAATAAACTTGTACAAACAGTCAAGTTAAAACAATTTTTACTTGTTTAATAAAATTATTTCAAAAAAAAAAATTGGGAAGAATCCATTTTTTCCTTATTGTTCGCTTAATAAAGGTAGGAAACTGAATTTACTAAATGCGTCTCAAAATAATTGAAATCTATCAGAAAGAGAAATCTGCAATATTATTACCAATCCTTTCGGATGCAAATACAGGCCTTTACCGGATAAGCTTGAACACCAATCTGTACGTCAAGATCTTAAGTCTGAGCGTGATGAAAGTTATGAAGAAAACAGGAGGTAAAGAAAATTTTATGAAAATCTTCGAAAATAAGTTAATGGATTAGAAGAAATGGGAGAAGCTGGAGCTGGTATATGGAAGAACACTTGTAAAACAATTCATTCACGATTGCCATTGGTGCTGTTCAATAAACAATTGCGGTGCAACAAGGACTCAAATTAAAAGCCAATTATTTGTAGTGATCTTAGTCATCATGATGAAAATCTGCCTAATTCGGAAACGTTCTGTGGCGGCGGGCGAAATTATTCTAAATCGGGTTTTTGTTGTACGATCAGCAAAAATTATAAAAGCACATAATTCGATCATCATAACAAAAAATTATTTCTTCCCAATTTAAACAACTTAATAAAATTATAAATGTCAACACAATTTTTCACAAATTAAGTCGAAATTATATCGAAATATTAGATGACGACGAATATTATGACATCACAATTGAAGTTGGAAAAGATCCAAATGTTAGAATATTCCGGGGGCACATGAATATTTTGTGTTACCGTTCTCCATATTTCTGATGTACTTTTGCAAATAAAAAGAAAAATGAAGGGACTCTAACAAGTATTAAATTACCAGATATTTCACCAAAATACTTTCAAATGATTTTGAAGTAAGTCGATTAATCAAGTGTATTACTTTCTTTTGAACATTATAATAAATTAAAATTATCCTTTCTTTAATATAGGTATATTTATGGTGGAATTATACCATTAGATGAACAAGACATTTCAAATATTTTAAAAGTAATGCGTGCTGCTGATGAGCTTCATCTTCAAGAATTGGTTGAATATTTACAAAAATATATAATTGAAAAAAAAGATGAATTGTTGGAACAATATTTTGAGCTTGCTTATAGAACAAGCTTTCAATCTAATTCTTTTTTAGAACTTCAAAAATTATGTACAGATATTATTGTTCAATCACCTGATAAGGTATTCAAATCACTTGACTTTACTTCGCTTCCTGAAAAATCTTTAATTTCACTCATTAAAAGGGATGATTTACAAATGAAAGAAGTTGAAGTTTGGAAAAATGTATTAAAATGGGGTTTTGAAAAACATCCCACGCTTATTTCGGATCCCTTAACTTGGTCAGATGATGATTTCAAAATGGTGGGAAATACCTTGCAAAATTGTTTACCCTTTGTTCGATTTTTCAGTTTATCCTCTGAAGAATTCATCAAAAATGTTCATCCATATAAAAGGCTTTTGAGAAATCAACTTTATGAAGATTTATTAAATTCACATTTAGATCCTAATAGTAAACCAAGTGATGGTATTTTACTCCCTAGATTTAGAAATCTTGATGGAATCATTGATACAAAAATCGTTAATTTAAATATTGTTTCCATAATTTCGAGATGGATTGAAAAGTTAGAAATTAAAAGCAACTTTGCTCATGTAAGAGAACTGTATTTACCATATAAATTTAAATTATTATTAAGAGGAAGCCGAGATGGAATGACTCCTAAAAAATTTCATGAATTATGTGATAATATACCCTATACAGTTACATTCATCAAAGTAAAAGGAACAGAAGAGATCCTAGGAGGATATAATCCTTTAATATGGAAGGAACCTATTACTTGTGAAAATGGTCAAACGAAGGATAGTTTCATATTTTCTTTTAAGAATAAGGATAATTTAAAGGATTCAATTTTAAGCCATGTGAATATTAAACATAAAGATTACGCTTTATTTTATTACTATACAAATGGTCCTGCATTTAGTTATGATCTTTTAATAGACAGTCATAACGGAAGAAAAAATTATTCTCGTGGTATTTGCAGGCAAAATAGATATGATAAAATGATAAGAGATACAGAAGACTTCAAAATTGAAGATTACGAAATATTTCAAATTTTAGAAATTGATGCAATGTAATACAAACAACAATCGTGATTTATTGGGGTGTTCCATCAACTATGTAAATCAAAAAATTGTTAAGTATCATATAAAAATTTACTATTAGAGATTTTTCGTATTAAACTATAATTTAAAATAGTTTTAAATTTGCTTATAATAAATTTCCAATTAAAACCGATACATTTTTTAAACTTCAATTTCTTTGACTTATTAATTTCTTTCCAAATTTCGTGAAAGTATTCTAAATAACCGCCTCTTTCATGCAACTAGCTGCTTTTTTTTTAAAAAAAGCTATTCATATTTCAAACATAACAAAATAACTATTTCTGAACAATTCCTCTATAGGAAAAGTTTCGCTTTTTTAAACTTCTTCAAAAAAACAAAGTTCATATTGTTCCTAAGGTCGCTATGCATGCATTTGAACTTTATCACTACATAAAAGCTATTAAAATTATGTGAAATTGAATTTTACAGATTTCGGATTATTAATGGGAAGAATTTCAAGCCGTGCCCGTCAATTAAAAAAAGCTCGTGAAATACAAGCTCAAAAATTAGAAGCACATAAAAATAACAAAATACCAAAAATTAATGAAATCTTAAATGGGATGGACGAACTAAAACTAAATAATGTTTTCTATTGGCTCTAATACCTTTGAAAATATTAACAAATCCAGTATTAAAAAGGTCCGGGAGCAAAGAAAAAATCAATCATTAAATTTGAAGAATAATATAATTCTAGATGATGCAGAAAGAGTTAGAAAAGCGGATCAATTATTTGAAAAATTTTTTTCTAAAAAAAAAAAAAAAAAAAAAATATAATTGTCTTTATTACTGTATAAACTCTGTAATTGGTAATAAAAACTAAAAGACAAAAAACTTCGAATTTATATTACAATTTTTTAAAATATCCGGCAAAAAAATCCAATTGATCCACTTAACCGGTATAACCGGCTGAAATTAAATGATCGTCAAAAAAATCTCTAATAGTAATTAACAAAGTTTTGATTTACATAGTTGATGGAACACCCCACTGATTTATGCATAAACTTCGAATTATTGATCATGTAAAATGATATTTTTCTAATACTCAGTTAGTTTATTTATATTATTAAAGTTTTGTAGGATTTGTTAAATTGGACTGGTAAATTTTTAAATAATAAATAAAATATTATAAATAACCGAAATCGTCACGTGAGAATTTAATTTACAACTTAAATTCTCAGTCCAATTGTATTTAATAACATGGTCAAAGGATTGGCGATTTGGGAGAAACCTTTAACAAATTTTCACTAATATGAAAATAATCCAAAGGCTGCTCTTAATTTGGTAAGTCCTTAAACAACTTTTTGTGCTTTACCGCCAACGTTGACCGAAACCAACTGTTTAATCTAAAAATGATTCGTGTCTTATCATTTTCATCAACCCACTATTTTTCAAATGATTATTCAGGTTGCTCATAATTGGTTGCTTAAAATTTTTGTATGGATGTAAACAAGGCCTTTAGCTGCATAATATCATTTCCTATTTGGATATTTCAAATGACGTTTACATTATTTGCAGAGATAAAACGTTTCATTTTAAGCAATTAGCTTCATTGCACGCCAACTTAGAATAACTATCCGTCAAGGTTTTAACAGGAGTTGTTATTATGTTGAAATCAACGTTTAGGAATCCGCTATCTAACAAGTACTTCCGAATAATCGGAACCATGTATCTGTAATCACCGAATCGATCGCGACCAAATAATTAAAAAAAAATAAATAAATATTAATTTCAATCGTTTATTTAGCATTATAAGAAATCCGGATCTCTATAAAACACCTGAGAACTTATGAAATCAAAATTCAAAATAAAATTCACATTTGATTTCTCTAAAGGTTGCCGGGAAAAACCCGGAGGTTTCGACAGGCATCGAAATCGAAACCCGTCAAAACGTTTTGCCAAATATTTTATTAAAGGCAAAATTGCGAAAGTTTCGAATGGTGGCAAAACCCATCGAAACCTTCTGATATTAAAATACAACTTTTGAATCTAAAAATTTATTATTTTGTTTAACGAGATGAGCAAATCGTATATAGCAAAGACTCAATTTCTTTTATAATATCATATATATATATATTTATAAAGGATAAAAAAAATCAAAAATTTTACATATTGATCATCAAGTTCAGTTATATATATCATTTATCTCCCAT